CTGGCGCGTTTCTGGATTCAATTTGCGCGCCCCCTGCTCTTCCTCTTCCTCCGCCTCCCCCATCTCCTCGCCCCTCCTCCGCAGCCGTTTTGGCTCAAGCTTCCGCCGCGACACTTGCGCATCGGATTTTTTCCCTCGCGTCCCCCGCAGGCTTGCTCTTAGCAATGGCGGCCCCTCGCTCCGCCATCCTGACCGCGGCCGTCGTGCTCGCCTGCACCAGCCTGATGGCCGCTTTCGTGCCCTCGCCGGTCGCGTCGCGCCCGACAGCGCAGTCGCTGCCGACGGCGGCGCTCAGCGCTTTGGCGCTCGCGGCGCCCACCGCCGCCCACGCGGAGGACTCGAGCGTGTGGATCCCGGCCCTGTCCGCCGTCGGCGCCGGCTTCGCCATCGGGCTGGCCGCCATCGGGTCCGGAGTGGGCCAGGGCATCGCCTCCGGCCGCTGCATCGACGGCATCAGCCGCCAGCCGGAGGCTCTCGGCCAGCGTGCTCCCGTCGCGTTTTTTTGTTGTCCTGTTTCTTCTCTCTCTCTCTCTCACTCTTTTCTCTCACTCTATTTCTCTCTTTCTCTTGTTCCTCCTCACTCGCTTCTCAAGTATTGTGCGTATGTATTTGAGCCGGCTGGGGGTGTGGGAGGTGGCCCAGCTCATTGGTCGCTCGAGAGATGCTCAAGGGGGAAAGAACGGGGACCCTCGTCGCCACGGCTGGACGAGGCTCTTGAACAATGGGCATCGAATCTGGCATTCCTGAGGACCTCTCAGGTTTGCCGAGACTGTGCGGCGGCGTGCTCTCCTGTCCCTCGCTTCATGGAGTCGTGACGATCTACGGGCTCGCTCATAAGTGCACTGGTTGCTGCTCTTGCCAACCCGATCATCATGTAGGTCGGGAGGGCATCACGTGCGAGGAGGAAGGCCGCTGTGAGGGTAGGGCCATTTGAAAAGAGACCTCGGTCCTCCTGCTCCTGTCGCTCTCCAGCCCGCCGGTGCCCCCCCCGAGCCTCTGCCCAGGAGGACGAGCGAGGAGGGCCCGCCTCTCCTCAGGGGGAAGGTAAGGGAGGGACCAGTCTCAGGGGGGAACGCTTCGAGGTGCGTTTTCGTCGCCTCGGGATGTTTCCCAGCAGCTGCGCCTCGTCGAGAGCTTTCCAAGGGTGCCCGGATCGTCCCGAACAGCCGCTGGGATGATCTGAAAGTCAGGGGGCAACGTTAGGGGGGGGACAGTCTCGGGGGGAACGCATTGACGCCCAATCGCCCATTCATCGCCGATAGCGGCCCGATCGCCCACCCCGCCCATGAACGTGCGGTTTCGCTATCGAGGGCCTATCGCCGATCTCTCGGCGATGTATCGCCGAATCCAGCTCGATGTCCCCCCCCTGTTCCGGGTCCCTGGTGTTTTCCGGTTCGTAACTCTGGCCTCCAGCGGCCGTTCGGGACGAAACGGGCACCCCCAGGACGCTCTCGGCGAGGCACAGCCGCTGGAAGGTATCCCGAGGTGGCCTCCTCCGTCCTCGCTGTGCACCTCGCGCCCTCCTCTCCCCCAGCTGCTCCCCCTAGTCCTTCTCTCGCTCGGGTCCCTTCGCGGCGCCGAGCAGGCAGAGGAGGAGTAGGAGTAGGAGTAGGAGTAGTAGTAGTAGTAGTAGTAGTAGTAGTAGTAGGAGGAGGAGGAGGAGGAGGAGGAGGAGGAGGAGGAGGAGGAGGAGGGTGGTGGTGGAGCTGCTGCTGCTGCTGCTGCAACTGTTGCTGCTGCTACTACTGCTGCTGCTGATGATGATGATGATGATGATGATGATGATGATGGTGGTGGTGGTGGTTGTGGTGGTGGTGGTGGTGGTGATGATGATGATGATGATGATGATGATGATGATGATGATGATGATGCTGCTGCTGCTGCTGATGGTGATGATGATGATGATGATGATGATGATGATGATGATGATGATGATGATGATGATGATGATGAGATGAGAGGATGATGATGATGATGATGTGATGATGATGATGATGATGATGAATGATGATGATGAGATGATGATGATGATGAGATGATGATGATGATGATGAGGATGCTGAGATGATGATGATGATGATGATGATGATGATGATGGATGATTGATGATGATGACTGATGATGATGAGATTTCATGATGATGATGATGATTGATGATGATGATGATGATGAGAGGAGGAGGAGGAGGAGGAGGAGGAGGAGGAGGAAGAGGAGGAAGAGGAGGATGGACGAGGAGGGATATGATGATACGTATGATGAGGATCCTGGACGCTGATGTACAACGGACGACGGACGACGACGACGACGACGAGGAGGAGGAGGAGGAGGAGGAGGAGGAGGCGGAGGAGAGGAGGAGGAGGAGCAGGGAGGAGGAAGAGGAGGAGGCGGGAGGAGGAGGAGGCGAGGGAGGAGGAGGAGGAGGAGGAGGAGGAGGAGGAGGAGGATGGGGAGGAGCAGGGGGAGCAGGGGGAGCAGGAGGTGCAGGAGGAGCAGGAGGCCGAGGCTGAGGCCGTCCTGGTGCCATCGGAGAAGAAGAACAAAAAGGCATGGGTCCGCGCTGAATTGTTGGATCGGCGCTGGACCTCCGTCTCGGGCGCGCTTCTGGCGTGCTTGGGGCGGCGCTGGAGGCTCTGCCAGGGTGGTCCAGCGCCAATCCAAGAAAGTCCGTGCGGACCTCCCACATAAGACAATTGAGTGCACCGTGTGCTGCAATAGTTTTTGTGGGCACCTCGGACGCCCCCCCCCCTTCTGGTGCAGTCTCGAAGGCCACCTGGGGTGTGCCGTCTCGAAAGCCACTCGGAGCTGTGTTCGGGCATCCAGGGACACCTTTGGAGACCCCAGGGGAGCACCCTCGAGGAGGCATCTCAGGACCCCAGGGGACCCCTGGGGTCGCGCGTTCAGGAGCAGCTCAAGGTATTCTGATCACATCGCGGCCAGCACTAGCAGCTTCTGGCGCGTTTCTGGATTCAATTTGCGCGCCCCCTGCTCTTCCTCTTCCTCCGCCTCCCCCATCTCCTCGCCCCTCCTCCGCAGCCGTTTTGGCTCAAGCTTCCGCCGCGACACTTGCGCATCGGATTTTTTCCCTCGCGTCCCCCGCAGGCTTGCTCTTAGCAATGGCGGCTCCTCGCTCCGCCATCCTGACCGCGGCCCGTCGTGCTCGCCTGCACCAGCCTGATGGCCGCTTTCGTGCCCTCGCCGGTCGCGTCGCGCCCGACAGCGCAGTCGCTGCCGACGGCGGCGCTCAGCGCGGTGGCGCTCGCGGCGCCGACCGCCGCCCACGCGGAGGGCTCGAGCGTGTGGATCCCGGCCCTGTCCGCCGTCGGCGCCGGCTTCGCCATCGGGCTGGCCGCCATCGGGTCCGGAGTGGGCCAGGGCATCGCCTCCGGCCGCTGCATCGACGGCATCAGCCGCCAGCCGGAGGCTCTCGGCCAGCGTGCTCCCGTCGCGTTTTTTTGTTGTCCTGTTTCCTCTCTCTCACTCTTTTCTCTCACTCTATTTCTCTTTATCTTGTTCCGCCTCCTCGCTTTCTCAAGTATGGTGCGGATGTATTTGAGCGGCTGGGGGTGTGGGGGGTGGCCACGCATTGGTCCTGGCCAGCAGAGAAGGGGGAAGAACGGGGCCCCCTCGTCGCCACGGCTGGACGCGGCTTGAACAACTGGTCATCGAATCTGGCGTCCTGCTGAGTTTCAGGTTGCCGACGACCTGCGCGGCGTGCTCCTCCTGTCCCTCGCCTTCATGGAGTCGCTGACGATCTACGGGCTCGTCATTGCACTGGTGCTGCTCTTTGCCAACCCGCTCATCAAGTAGGTGGGGAGGGCATCACGTGCGAGGAGGAAGGCCGCTGTGAGGGTAGGGCCATTTGAAAAGAGACCTCGGTCCTCCTGCTCCTGTCGCTCTCCGGCCCGCCGGTGCCCCACCCCAAGCCTCGCATTGACGCCCGATCGCCCACCCCGCCCATGAACGTGCTGTTTCGCTATCGGGGGCCTTTCGCCGATCTCTCGGCGATGTATCGCCGAGTCCAGCTCGATGTTTCCCCCCCCTGTGCCGGATCCCTGGTGCTTTTCGGTTCGTAACTCTGGCCTCCAGCGGCCGTTCGGGACGAAATGGGCACCCCCAGAACGCTCTCGGCGAGGTGCAGCCGCTGGAAGGTATCCCGAGGTGGCCTCCTCCGTCCTCGCTGTGCACCTCGCGCCCTCCTCTCCCCCAGCTGCTCCCCCTAGTCCTTCTCCCGCTCGGGTCCCTTCGCGGCGCCGAGCAGGCAGAGGAGGAGTAGGAGTAGGAGTAGGAGTAGGAGGAGTAGGAGGAGTAGGAGGAGGAGGAGGAGGAGGAGGAGGAGGAGGAGGAGGAGGATGACGAGGCAAGAGAGGAGGGTGGCGGTGGAGCTGCTGCTGCTGATGATGAGATGATGATGATGATGATGATGATGATGATGATGATGATGATGATGATGATGATGATGATGATGATGATGATGATGATGATGATGATGATGATGATGCTGATGCTGATGCTGATG